AAACATCTTAATGCAAATAAGATAGAATTGAAAATTGAGTGTAAATATTGACGATGTCGATTGATCAGTCGTACAGAGGCGACGTACGAGTGTTTTACGTTGAAAATAATCGAAACGTGTACGCGTTCGGCGCTGTGATTGGTCGCCTCCAATGAACCAACCAATCAGAGCGCCAGACGGGGTTTCATTTCGATTACTTTAAACGAAAAAGAAACTCGTACTAAGCCCTCTGAATGTAACCACGTGTGTCGTGTGTTTTAGAATAACAAGGTTAAGGGCCGATTTTTCAATCATCAGTTAATTTTTAACTGTAAGTATAATAAAATTGACATTTGACAGTTTTTAGTATAAAAGTATAGTCAAATATTCAAAGTTCTTCCTCAGTTAAGATTTATTTGGCGTTGCAAGAATCGGCCCTAAGTTTAATTTTAAGACAAAACTGTCATTTTTACACAAAACCCTTAGCAAGTAACTATTTCGTCTTTTTGTCAGTAAGCTACAGCTTTTGGACAAAAAGACGATTGGAACTTTGGGCAGTCGTTTTTGTAAATCTGAGGTTCACTTTATCCTTATAAAATGTTCGACGCGTTATTATCCGTATCCTTTTAGTATCCCCAGAAGAGGCAATGACTAATATTAGCCTCGGACCGGTATCAAAGGCTACTCAGGTAGAAAACATTGAAGGCATATATTTTCGAATACTCATGCAAATCTACTATATATTTATATAACATAACATCACGCCTTTTATTCCCGAAGAGGTAGGCAGCGGTGTACATTACGGCACTTGATGAAAATTGCCACTGAACAATGTAACACCCATTTTTCACTCTTTATATTCTGAGTCCCATGTAATAGGGGGTGAGCCTATTGCCATATACCGAGCACAATTTCAGACTCCGTGCTATCACTGAGAATTTTTTTAGTCGGCAGTCGCACTTGCGACCATTCGGCTAACAAAGCAGTATTATACAGCACTATTTATATATCCTCAATTTAATATGGACTTGCTAATCAATTGACCGGGTCAGTACTAACAAAACACGACTATTTAAAATACTTGTCAGTAAACCGTGTCACACAGTTTTTGTGTAAATAATTTCAGTTAGTTTAAATCAGTATTGTTTACCGTTTGTTTGTGCTAACCATGAAATGAGATGAAATCATCCATATTTGGTGAATTCTAATGAGTTTCGTGTACTTTCTAGTAAAAGGAAAGCGTGACTTTTCTTCGAACTGAAATGTTTTTCAATTTGATTTCATAGTTGTCATTTAGCATTATCATTTTTTTTATGGGACTAGCCCGCCACAGCCTCCCAAAACCGCTGCAACTTCTATAAGCCAGGATCTACAGTAGATACAACTATGAAAACACCGGAACACTGAAGTCGGGCGCGTCCCAGAGACATGAGTAACTGTCTTGGTTCCCGCAATGAAGTGAATCAGAAGATACTATAAGAGAAGAAAAAAGAAACGATAGTTTCCACTTTCCTCGGTGAATTACTGCAGCATTATCATATGTTTATATCGTCGTCATGGTTTGATAATAGCGATTTTATGGGACAGGTCCCAATATTGCCCCTGAGCAAACGGATCACCTGATAGTAAGTAAGTACATGATCAGCATCGCCCATAGACCTGGTACGCCAAAAAGGAGTTACAAGTTCGTTACCGGCCTTTTTAATTCTCTTCTAACCTCACCGATAAATGTATTGAAAAAATATTGTCACACGCTAAGTTTCCGTAATAGAAATGGGATTTTAGGGTTTACACATTATAGGTTTTTATATTAAAAACAATGTGCAATCATTGCTTGAATGTTTAGCATAGGCTTGACACCGTCCACGTTCGCATTTCACAATTTGTATGTAATGGCCCATATGACTCAGAATACAGGGGTTCCCATTTTGACGCAAGACTTTTCCTTGTGCATTTCGCATAGGTATTTTATTCAATTAAGCGACGAAAGTTTCTCTTTTTAACAGCAATCTAACATTATTTGTATCTAATTACGATAGTAAGCAAAAATATATACTCTAATCCATTAAAATTAGCAAAGAAACATTACAGGCCATTACCTACACTAGCGCCATCTGCGCAACGCGAAAATGTTCCAAAACCTTAATTACGAATTCTGGTATATTTGTTTTCCAGTAATAAGGATAACATTTGAAATAACAATAACTTCTAATTTACACGTAATATAATCGAGGTTGGTAATTTTAGCGTAGTTTTGTTGATGGAATATTTTATGACACAACCTATTTGCTATTTAATTCAAGAGTACCTTTAATAAGGTTACTTAGAGGCTTAAAATGTAGTTAAGAAACTATAAAATTACATGTATATAATGTAACCTTTAAGCGCGTATAGTTATGAGGGCCCCTACATACATGATTTTAATGATAATTGCTACTTTAAAACTTGCCATTATTTACGGTTAGGAATTTCATAGCAGGTGATAAAAACAATACTTTTAATTATATTTTAATGTCATGTTGTGACAAATACCCCCAACAATATAAGCGCGTGTCAATTTGTCATTATTTTGAAATTAAAATGTCATTTGCGAGGTAGCAGTAACTATTAAGTCTTAAGTGATCTTTTAGTACCTACTTGTAATAAAAATACTGTCCCATATTTAATGAAAAGCGGAAGATAATAGAATTAGATTTATAATGATGTATGAATGTGTGTTGCTAATGTAATCTCATTATTTCCATTACAGCCACAGCTAAAATCTCAAGTAAAATATTCACAAATTATGCATGCATAATCGCACAACAAAGAATATTTTTGCTAGCAACAAAAACCAATACCTAGACTACAAAAGCAGCACCACTACGGGTGAATGCACTTTATAGTATTCGAAACAAAAAATCGATACTCGACTCGTTCCTCACCTATCACTTAGTCGATTATGTAGCATAATAACATGGTTATCGATTCAAATCGATTTAGAAATGTCAGTAAAAAACGTCGAGATGTCTTAAATCGAGATCAGTTACTGTCATTATGACGTAATGCATAAATTAAAAGATGGAAGTCTTTAGAAGTCAGATTGGATGTAGACCTGTCTAGATTTTTTCTAGTGACCTTTGGAAAGGCTTATGACCTGTTTCAGACATGGTTTTATTATTCGATAGATCAGAGTTACACGTGGAAGGCCCGGAATATAGAATTTTTAATACATGCACTGCGCTGTATCGATTTTTCTCTCTCCTAAACTTGCGGATCATACTTCGTACTAATATTATAAATGCAAAAGTTTGTGTGATTGTTACTCCTTTACGCCAAAATAGCTGAAGGGATCGGGATCAATTTTGGAACAGGGGGTAGATTATGATCTGGAATAAAATATAGGCTATTTTTCATCCTACGGGAACGCGGGCGAAGCCGCTGGCAGAAGGTAGTATGAACATAATAATCAAAATTATGATAGAGGAAAATATTGCTCAATGTATGAACATTTTCCTAATAGTTAACAGAGATGTCAATGGGGATTGTATGGGTGTGGGATGACGTTTATAGAACCTGTTTGAGTGACATAAAGGTCTTTGACATGACCTACGATCGAACCTTAGATGTAAAGTGCATAACCATAATGTGGTGAAGTATATAGGATAAGGCTATGCATATAATTATGCAATACAAATGCATTAGTTAGATAAAAGATGTAGAATTACTTAGCTAGCAGAAGTTATGTGTTACGTGGTAGAAATTTTTAATAGAATTGGGTGTTTAATGGGTAGAGGTGGTCAATTTATATGAATATTCAGTGAAATTCTGCTAAAGCTAAAGGGAAGCTAGACGGGAATTAAAAGAAGAAATAAGTGCACCATGTTTAAAGTTTATTTTTGACATCTCATCTTGTCTTTCTGCAAGTTTTAAAGACGAAAAATATCTATCTATACTAATCAGTTATTAAGATATTTTGAAGATTTGCAACATGCTTACGTAGCATGTCTACAGTTTCAGTATAAGATTATCCAAAATAAAATTGACGAAGTTTACATAAGTATATCGTACAATAACCCAAATGAGTACACAAATATTTTACCGCGATACGGGAATCAGCCTTGTGACCCTGAGATTTGTGAACCATACTTTGCACTACTTAAGTCGTGGTCTCGAAAAAAATCACTGTTAACAAAAAATATGGTTGATTCCAATCCAACCGAAATAACAAGAAAACTACACATGTTGTACACTTGTGTGGATTTTTTGCGCAATTTCTTCCAAAAAAGTATTGACAGATTTTGCGCTGGAACTCATGAAGAGCAAAGTATACACAGAAATTTATGTTCCCTACTTTTAACGATATCTAATTAGTACTTCAGTACAAGTATCAAATAATTTATTGATCGGTCCAAATGTTAACAGCAATGGACAGCCAATAAAAACCATTATCAGAGATCAGTAGAATTATAACATACAAGGTGAAAAAACCTGTTTTGGGAGCGCATAAAAACATGAGACGTACTTTCTGCCCGTCCGTACAAGGCACGACTTTGACATTTGTATTAAATTATTAATTAAGTATTACTTTACTTATTTTATTAAACTCGCGAAACATTGCGACATGATTTTAGAACGAAAGATGACGAAATAATCGTTAGGTAAATGTTTTTTTAAGATTATCGTAAACAGGCATTCTAATTAAAGTGGGTTATCGTTAAAATGGAACAATCAGCTGTTGTCTTAGTTCGACAAATTCGTCCTACTTCGGATTTAGGGCAAGTATTCTTGAAGAATATTCGTATGTTAGTTAACGAAGTAACTGCACAATAGATATAATCGTTCGCTAACTTCTCGTGTTAGCATCAGACAATTAAACCAATTAACAGCTAAAGAAAAATCATCACGCCAATTGCGTAAAACCAGTGAATAAAATTCAGACCGTTTTATGTGGTTACGGACCATAAAATCAAAGTAATTTAAGTTTAAAGAGTTGTTGCATGTCTTCATTGTTGGCAGTAAATATAATAAGTTTGACTTACCTTTATTGTCTCCGTGCAGGGTCTTTACGGAGGGTGCGAGGCCGAAGGGGGCCTTCGGCACGATTGCTGCACCCTTATTTTTTTCAAAGAGCGCTTTGCGTTCCCTCAATGACATTTCGGCGGGGTCCTTCGCCTTCGGGCTGCCCGTCTCGAACATCGCCGCCTTAGACAACACAGAACTCCTGTCAACACTCCCGTTTATTTTCGGAGCCAACCTTTTCACTAACGGCGACCCCATCTCCGGCGCCGGCTTGTCGTCCGCCGGTTCCGGTTTTGTTTGTTTACAATCATCACTTGCGTCATTTTCGTTGTCGAGTTGCACTGCATTCTCTTTGTCTTTTTCACTTTCACATTCATCTTCCGTGATAACATTCCGCGGCGGCGTGGGCGCTCTGTATTTCTTGATCGAAGGCTTTTTTGTAACGGCCGGGTTGGCGACGGGCGACGGGGCCACCATTGTAGCCATGTTGGGGGCTGAAGCGGCACTGGGGGTAGTCGATGCACACTTCGGCTCCTGTCGGTCGGGATCGGCGGTTTTCGTGGTGAATTCGTAGACGAGCCGCGATTGGCTGGCCGAAACTCGCCGGTAACCCTCGCCCTCCTACGATTGGACAACGGTCGCGTAACGCGAGGGGTGAGCACGTGCTTGCATATCGTTTATTGATACGGTTTATAACAGCCGCTAAGTTCGCGCGGTTAGTTTAACTGGGTTAGGTTAGCGCTAAAGGGCTCACGGTGAAGTTGCATCACGTCTGTCGGAAGGTCGCGTAAGGCGCTGAGGGTATTTAATTGTTACTATGACGCAGATAATGAAATAAATAGTATTCGGAGTTGAATGAACGTAAGTAGCGTGTGAGTGAGGTGGCGGGGTCGTGTGTGCGCGCGTGAGTCCCGTGTGCCGAGCTTCAACTGACTGGCTGTCTGCGGAGGGCCGCCACCGCCACACGTTAGCCCAGCTGATAATTATATTTTGACGCATCGCGTTGTTTGATGCGCTTTGTGTTATTATAATTATTGAGGAAATATGTATCATTATTTCGGGTACATGTCACGGTGTATGAAATGATTTATTTTTTTACCTTTGTGTACGCTTTGATAGGATCGCGTCTGGTCTGTGACGGTGATCATTAGAGCATCAATTTGACATTCGACAATGTGAGAATTCATAATTACACACAAATATTCACGTCTACGTAATATAAGGCCACTACCAAAAAGTTTTGATAGATGATACAACTAATAATCAAGATTCTGTACAGAATTAGAACTGCTAACTGCACTACAAAGTATTTAAAATGCATATTTTACTACAAAAAACTCACGTAAACACAAAGATAACATTTATACACATGTACTGCAGCTGTTTTGCGGAAGACCAGCCCGTGGCGGAAGAGCTAATGACACGACAATTATACAGAAATATCATTGCAACCGACAAGAAAAAAAAACATAGATATATCGACAGAAAAAGCCATAGAATAATTTATTTCAAAATTGCACTTAAATTGTAGTTTGAATTAAAACATTCGTTAGCTTATCGTAGCAACAAAAGGTTGAAACTACATTAAAAATTTAAGTATCAACTTATACCTATGAAAGAACGGATTTAATATTTTAATATTGCAATCTAAATTAATAACACAAATACCATCTAACAAAACTTCCATGTACTAAAATCTATGAATTACCAGGAAAATAAGTTGAAATGTAATAATTACAAGAACCATTAATGAATGAATACACGATTCATGGTAAGCAGGACAAAAAACAGTGTAAAAACTAGTAACATAGTTAAATAAGCTATAATTTTATTGTTTTATATGTCTATTTGTAGATGCAGGCGTTATGCAATTTGTTTATTGAATCGATACTGCATTCGTCTCAATAAAATGTGGTTTTCCTTCGAAAAACATGTTGCTATTTGACCAGGTCAATATAAAACATTTTTGAAAAACTAAAACCGAATCAGTTTAGTTTGGTCAAAAGTCATTTTCTGGTCTTATGGCAATGGTATTCTAGCGTGTTTGTAAGTAATTAGAGGACCCTATAATATCTGCCTAAAACTAATTATTGTCCTAAATAACTTTTGTAAGTAATACCAAGTATCAAGTAATGTCGTGGTGGCCCGGAGGTTTAAGACGCTGGCTTCTCATGCATGAGAATGTGGGTTCAAAACCTACCAACGGCAAGTACCAATGTGAATTTTTCCGTGTTATATGTACTTTCTTAAATTATTTAGATACCATTGACAAACGGTGAAGGAAAACATCGAGAGGAAATCTGGGCTTATAATTTCTAATTATAAGTTTGTAATCGCCAACCCGCATTGAGCAAGCGTGGTGATTAATGCTCAAACCTTCTCCGTGTGAGAAGAGGCTTTGCTCAGCAGTATGCATTTATAGGCCGTTGATGACATGATGACCAAGTATCTAAGTCTAAAATCAGAACCACAATACGAAGGCCACCATTTTCAGCAAATAAGCATAATTGCCTCTCAAGTTTTGAATGTCATGGGACATAAAAAAAGAACAAGGTAATGCCCAAAAATATTAAATTTCATGCCCCTAACTAAACTGATCAGTGCCTATTAACCAATTCCTATTACTTAAGTTCGGGTGGCCGAAATTGTGATAGACATGCCCCTTACGGTCAATGACATTCCACTAGCTACTGTTGTTTAGTTAAAATGAGGAGGGAGACGGAGACTGTTAAACTAAGAAAATGGTTGTCTTTAAACTATTTTTAACTGATTCCAGAGAGGCATTGCTTCAACTGAGAAACTCATGGTTTAGAAAAGCTAGCTGTGTGATGGAACAGTCCAGATGACCAATCTTAAATGCATTAAGATGGAAACTCATCCGTGTATCGCAGAACACTTTAGATAAAAGTGATTTGGGACCCACAGCTATCGCCAGCCGAGGAAATATTAGATCTCTCTGATTTCTCTATTCTCTCTGATCTGTGCCTGTAGCCAAACGCCACTTTACCGCTTGTCTACCGAGAGAGTAGAAAACTAAATGTATGGGCATGACACTGATAAGTGTAAAAATTTACGTCAATTCCATATAATTTGGTTTTTCCTGCATGTAGACAAGCGCTAAATGGCATTTGGCTACAGCTGGTGATCTCCAATCTACATAGAAGACCATGCACCAGCCGATTTAACATAATCAAAGGATTAAACAAAAAAATAACGACTTCCTTAGCCATTTTCGTGAATTTGTGAATCTGGCCTTCAACAACATTAAAAACGGTAGTCTAAATATGTATTAACGAGTTTGCAATCATTTTATAGCAACTTTAAACAAAATTAGAACAAAATCTAGCCATTGAGGATATTGTGTTACAAGTATGTATGAAAATACATGTATTAGCAATTAAGATTTTTTGTTGTGCATAATTACAATACTTGGAGTATCTAGTACTCGTAGTTAGATCATTTTGGCGTAGCAAAGTGACTAATGGCTTCATTGTATCCTTTTAGAATGATTAATGAGATGTTTACGAATTTTTGACGATTATTATTCAATGATTTAATGGTCCTAAACATCGACTGCTGGATAAGAAGAGCTGTTGGGTGTCGCACCACATTCAAAATAATAATATCTGTTAGAAGTAGACCAGTATTTAGCCTGAATTTTATCACAATGACGTTAGAAGTAAAATATCACTACTCTATGGACCTTCAAAAATTTCAACAAGTTGTCCTATCTGCAGAATGAAGTTCGATGCACCCAAGCAATCAATCTTATAAAGCTTTTATAGAAAAACTACGAGATCTGAACGAACCGGTAAATGGTGCGCAAAAACGTAGTTCAACAAACTCCTATAAACCACTTGAGAAGACCCCCTTCTTCCGTATATTTTCTTTCAAGAACAGCTCTTGGTCTCTGGTCATCGTGAAGGGAAGCGATGATGTTGTAACAATGATGCAATTGTATTAAAAGTAAGTACGTATTGCGACACAAAAGTCGCTGCGATTAATCTATACAGGGGTGTAAAAAAAGAGTTTAATGCGTCTAAGATTTATAGCGTGTGGGCATTTTACTGTTCACGATACAATATAGATACAACACATGGCGGTGATCTGGAAACTACGATTATTTTCCCTTCGTTTTTCTGTGAAAGTTGGTTTTGATTGCTTGTTTAGTTTTGTATAGCCCTGCGTTAACCTCAATCTTTAGGGTTTTTAGGCATACTAGACAAATAAACTTTTGGGATATAAAATTTATTCGTCTTAAATAGTTAAGATTCACAACGTAATCTATTAATGGTGGCGAAAACTATATAGTATACTTCTGTATTTTTATTGTAAGCATGTTTTGCGACAGCAGCAGCGCAGTCCAAACAGTGTCAGTAATATATTCTTTTAATTATGACGTATCGATATGGACGTACTTTTCACATACTCATCCTAAAAATATGTTACGTCAAAGAAATCTCCAAAAATAAACCATAGGAATTATAAAAACAAACCACAAAACTTGTGCTTACAAAGCGTTACTGACCAAGTCTGCAAGTTGATATTTTCTGAGAATTTATTAGTATCGAATTACCGTTCCACTGATAAGGGGCCTGTGTCTTTAGAGTTGGACCTTTAAACAACATGTGCAGAACAAATCGGTACTTTAATTTCAACCGTGAAGAAATATAGTGATTTTGCACCCACCTAGCTTCACTGTCGGACTGACTGACAGACTACTATTTATTTTGTATTTGTTAACGTTTCAAAAGTACCAAATTATGGTTTAATTGAAATTATACTTTTATTTAAACAACTTCAATTAGTGTATTGGACAGTTGTACTAATTTACTTTGAGATGGCTGGTCGTATAATAGATGTAGATTTTGATTTCATACTTATTGACTGACAAACTTGGATTAGGTCTGAAATTAGAAATTCCATTGATTCTTACAGTTGCATACACAAGAAACGCGTTGTGTATAGTTCCCGGTTGCCATGACAGGGTAATTTATATTTAGGAATATGGATCTCATTTTTTGGGCCAAAGGCGAGCCACTAGGCGATAACGTCTATTTCTTTGGTTAGTTAGCGAAATCGTTAAAAGTTATTAGATTTTGTGCTTTAATCTAGTCAGTAGGTTAAATACAATCCCTCTCGCCTCACCCGGGCGGGAGAAGTCATTGGATGATTTTCCCCTCAAAAAAAAAGGTTAAATACAATAAGTGACAACAAAGCCATCTCAATTCTGCGTAAAAAGTACTGATGTCGTGAATTTTATGATTATTACGATAGAATGATGACTGTTGATGAAGCGAAAGAGGTATGTAGGAATCGTAGTAACTGACGTCCCATAGTCTCTGCCTACCCCCATGGAAGACGGGCGTGAAGTTACGAACATGTATGTACGACAGAATTAAAGAAATAATTACAATATATCTTTTCTAATCACATCTCGCATCAAATCACATACAACAAATCGGTCCACAACCTCAATTTATCGGGAAAAACGCATTAAAACACAGTGAATGTACTGAGAAAAGCTCTACTAGTTTCGAACCACAGAGGGGTTCTTCCTCATGAGCAGCGTGCGCGGTCGCGGCGACGTCGCGCTGCCTCAGTATATTCACGTGAGTAAC